AATTATGTAAAACTATAAAATTAAGGGATTAAAATTGACATTTAACTTTTACAGTTCGACACCTTTTATAAATGTTTTCAGACATAAGTCAAAACCTGTCCTTAATTCAAAGTAATTTAGGTATCGCAACAAACCCACTTTCAACCGGTTTCCGATCTGAACCAAACCCTGTAACATCACACTGCTACACTCCATTTTCCTTCTCCCCAAACAGAAATCATAAACCTAGCTCCAGATTTTCCAGAGAAAACTCAAAATTCTCGCCATGGATGAAACCTTCTTGCTAATGCTCTCAAACCTTCTTCACCTCCACAATTCTCTAGATCCCTCGACCTCTCTTCTCTCCCCGTCCTCCTCGTCCCCTCAGCCCGCCTCCTCCCCTTCTCCGTCGTCCCCTTCGTCCCTCCTCTCGTCCTCCTCCCCGGCGCCGCTCCTTTTCTTCACCCTCGCTTCTATACTGTCCTTCCTCGCCTCTTCTTCCTCCTTGAAGAAGGAGATTGACGATAAAAAATCGAGGGACCCCAATTCATCCCCTTCCCCACCTTCTTCCTCGCATTTTTCCGTTTCTGCGTTTCGTGCCCTCTCCACTGACCACATCTGGTCCCTTGACGCCCCCGTCCGTGATGCCCAATGGCGGTCCTTGTACGGACTCTCCTACCCAGTTTTTACGACTGTAGTTGACAAGCTGAAGCCATTCATAGCCGCTTCCAATCTCTCCCTCCCCTCCGATTATGCCGTTGCCTTGGTCCTTTCCCGGCTTTGCCATGGATACTCGGCTAAAACTGTAGCCTCACGCTCCTCCCTCGACCCCTATCTCGTCTCCAAGATCACCAATATGGTTACCAGGCTCTTGGCTACTAAGCTCTATCCGGAATTCATTAAGATTCCAGTGTCTCGTAGAAGAATGGTTGAGACTACGCAGGGTTTCGAGGAATTAACGTCTCTGCCCAACATTTGTGGAGCTATTGATGGGAGCCCCATCAAGGTCCGTGGACTGAATCTCGATAGGAGTTCGATGAATGTCTACAAATGCAAATATGGGTATGATTCTGTTTTGCTTCAGGTAGTCTCTGACCATAGAAAGATATTCTGGGATGTGTGTGTTAAGGCTCCTGGTGGTGCAGATGATGCTACACACTTTAGGGATAGTTTGTTGTACAATAGGCTTACTTCAGGGGATATTGTGTGGGATAAAGTGGTCACTGTGAGGGGTCACCATGTCCGGCCTTACATTGTTGGGGATTGGTGCTATCCTTTACTTTCGTTTTTGATGACACCCTTTTCGCCAGATGGTGCAGGGACACCAGCTCAGAACTTATTTGATGGGATGCTGATGAAGAGTAGGTCTGTTGTGGTGGAGGCAATAGGGTTACTTAAAGCGAGGTGGAAGATTCTTCAGGACTTGAATGTTGGTCTCAACCATGCACCACAAACCATTGTTGCTTGTTGTGTGCTCCATAATCTGTGTCAGATTGCAAGGGAGCCAGAACCGGGGCCTTGGAAAGACCCAGATGAGAGTGGGGCTCAAGCAAGAGTGCTTGAAAGTGAGAAGCAGTTTTATTATTTTGGGGAAAGCCTGAGGCAGGCTTTGGCTGATGACTTACACCAAAGACTTTCATCAAGATAGATTATGTGCATTTGGGAAGATTCAGCAGAGGTTTAAGTGCGGAACTTGTTTTCTCTTGGGAACATATTTCTAAGTAGTTCTAACATGGATGACTTATGTTTGACATGCCTGATTCTTGTTTGCTAATTTTAGTCAGTGATACTCGTAGATGTGGTGGAACATTAAGGTTATTTTATAGTGATTATTGTTGTAGCAGAGTTCAAGAATTTGGTGATGCACAATTAACTGCTTAGTGTCACTTTTGATTAAATTTAGGTTGGCTATCGTTTCTGTCTTTCTGTACATAAATATTTAAGTTTATGGTTGCCACCCCCTCCCCCACCATTGGTTTTGAACTTATGGATAAAAGACATTTGCTGGTCTACTTAATTCTAAATTCCTGGATTGATTTCTTATTTCAAGGTCTTGCCAGAGTTTCTCTTTCTGAAATGTTAATATTGTAGGTGCCAACTAAGGGTTATGCTTTATATGAGTTTTCAAGAGTGCATTCATTTAGCACCTTTCCTTTCTTTTTTCCCCCCTTTCCTGAAGGTTCTTCAATGTGAATGAAAGAAGAGAATTAGGGATATGTTAATAATCCATGGACATTGAGGTGGACCTCTGTCATGGATGGGTGATATGCCTTCTGAATATTCCACTTTGCGAAGTAGGCTTTTGTTCAATCTGTCCAAATTCTGTCACGATTGGTGTTTCTTTTGTTGTGTCATGCTCCATGAAATCGTATTTTATGGTTATGCTCCAGAGAATTTTTGACTATCTGAACTGCTAGTTAGCCATTCTTTTTCTAGATTCTCGAAAGGGAAAAGAAGTTCGTGAACTATGATGCCTTCACATCAAATTGATATTCTTCAATTGCTTCTGTTGTCTCCCATTCAAATGCTATCATTCAATGAACCTTCCACCTTTTTTACCTAGTTTCTTTATAAAACTACTGCTTTTGCTTGTACATAACACAGGTTTTGCAAAGATAATGATGTTGCTTACTCCAACAATTGAGACGATGACTGGAGTGTAAAGCCTTTTTTAGGCTCACTCTCGATAAAGTTCCCATTCGTCATAAAGGTCTAACGCCATTGATGAAAGGGGCATGAAAAACTTCATTACACTCTCCCAGTTTTTCCTCCATTCTTCCTTTTAAATTAGATCTAGGTTGGCCAGCTTGAATGGT